GGAGCGCTCACCTCATCCGGGCGCCTCGGCGCGGCCCCCGCCATCGGGAACTGCGGGCGGAGCGGGCGGGGGCGGCCTGGCTGTCGGTCCCCGTCCCCGCGAGTCCCCGGTGGAGCCGCCGGGCTCACCCCCGCGTCCGCGCGGCGGAAACCGGGCCTCTGGCGCCTGCAGGTTCCAGCGCGTCGTCCCGGGCCCACCGACCCGCAAGCCTCCGACGCGGTGAAAAGGCCGGTGAGGACCCGAGTGACCGCCAAGGGAAGAGGACGGAAGTCCCGCCTTGGCGGGATCCACAGACCGGAAGTGCCTCATCCCTGAGCCGCCATTGGCTCATCATCCGGTCTCTCGCGCACGTTCTTCTGGGTAATGTAGTTCCCAGTGACCGCAGCACCAGAATGAAGGTGTTGATGCTTGGATGAGAGGATGGGCCAGCCTGAGGAATGATCAGGAATGGTGAGGGGCCCCCAGGGTGTGAATCAGTGGCTAGAGCGTCGGCCTATGGACTGAAGGGTCCCAGGTTCGATTCCGGGCGCCAGCACATGCCCAGGTTGCGGGGTCCATCCCCAGTAGGGGGCGCGCAGGAGACAGCTGACCAATGATTCTGATCATGGATGTTTCTCTCCCTTCCTCTGTGAAATCAATTTAAAAAAGTTTTTTAAAAAATAAATGGTAAAAAAAAAATAAATAAATAAATAAATGGTGAAGGGAAGAGGGCAGACTGGAAGAGGATGTGAGTCAAGTGGGTATACTTTTAACTTTTTCAATATGTATCACAAAGCCTGTTCCTTTTGTTTAGAAAATGGGGTGTAGATTTGTGCGCCTGTGCATATACAGTGATTGCTATTTCCTCATTTTCATATTCCACTTCCCACTCTGTAATACAGGAGTGACTAATTACTAGTAGTTTCCTCCCAGAAATCATTTTTATTTGTTAGTACATTTATGGTCGCCAACTTGCACTTTTTCAAGTCTGATGCTCCCTAAACTTTAAACCCCAATTACTCACTTGTTGTTACTTAATAATTTACTATTAATAAGCAAAATATAAGTATGGATTTGAAGTTAATGATGCTATGATAAGTCCGAATTTGAACAGTCTGGGATCATATATATTTTTTACAGAGAGGAAGGGAGAGGGATAGAGAATTAGAAACATAGATGGGAGAGAAACATCGATCAGCTGCTTCCTGCACATCTCCTACTGGGGATGTGCCTGCAACCAAGGTACATGCCCTTGACCGGAATCGAACCCGGGACCCTTCAGTCCGCAGGCCGACGCTCTATCCACTGAGCCACACCAGCTAGGGCTCTCCCCTATTATCTTACAAAAATACTCTTCCCATCAACATTGAAGACTGAGGCCCTGGCTCCTCTGAATAGACCACAGCAACAGGTTTCCCTCACT